TAATATTTGCAAGGAAAAGAAAAAGTGACACCGCAGCAAAGACTTGCGGTCAATCAAGCCAGAAGAGCACTGCAATCGCAGCTGTCAGTGCAAAAACAAGTACCTGGAAGGATGCTCCAACCTCCACCCGTCGATCCAAGAGGTTGATTGGGAGGAAGCGGTCTGCTAGCGAAGTCAGCAATAAGGTAACAATAATATTGTCACTATTATGATACCTTGTAAAGCGGAATACTGACAAGTATTTTTCGTCTTTTCCATGCATGAACATGAGAATCCTCTATCTGTGTCTGAGAGTGAAGAGGAAGAAGCAGAAAGCCCAGGCAGCGAGAAAGGTTCTGTTGCAGTAGCTGAAGATTGGGCTGCACAAAAAACAGTTCTTGAGATTGGCGCCAGGAGCAAAAAGGTAATGAAAACGGCCAGTTCGAGTGCTCCAACTGCTTCTGGGAAAAAAGATCCTCCATCCTTAGAGTCACTCAAAGCTAGGCTGGAACGAACAAAAGTTGCAGGTTATGTGAGAACAGAAGAAATGTCTAGGGTCCCTGAAATGCCTCTGGTAGGTGCCTTGCAACAAATCACAGAGATGTTTCCACTATCTGCTGAAGAAGTATAGAGCAAAAGGTATGACCACTTGAGCCAATTGCTGGCCATTATCCAGAATTCCATCACCGAAGGGAATATGGCTGCAGCAATATGTTTAGTGTCTTCAGAAGCGGCCCAAAAGCATATTGAATGCCGAGTTTGTGTTCCCCGTATTGCGGAATATCAGACTGCTTATGGCCTGCAGGAGAAGAATAAATTGCTATCTGAACAACTGATTGAACAGGCAAGTAACTGGAAACCAACATCAAAGAGGCTATTGCTGCCGAATTAAAGGCAAAGGCAGAATTGGAGAAAGCACAAGCCAGACGCAGACAACTGGAGGCGGAGCTAAGTGGTGTTATTGCGGACACTGATGTGGCGCTGGATGGATATAGGCGGATGACCACCATTGAGAACCAACTGCTTCCCAAGTTACAGGATGCTGAAAAAGTTGTAGAAGGTGCACAGACCAGTTGGAACTTTCTGAAGAATACCATCACCAAGCTAACGCATGAAGTAGGGACAGCTCCCAACTCTCCAATGTCCATGAGTCAAACGCCTCTAAATCATCTTGAAAGCGGTGCAACAGCAGAAGAAAGGCTACCAACTTCAGAAATGCCACAGGATGTGCCACCACCTGAAGAAAAAGCCCTTGATGTGGCACCGTCAGCTAGCAGGCCTGCAACCCCTCCAGCAGAGGTATGATATTGCTTGGGAATTAATACCTTGTTGAACCCGTCTTGATATTTTGTTTTCTGATTTAGCCTTCTAGTGTTGCAATGATCTATTACCTGCACAAAATAATTTATTTTGATTTGTTGTTAGTAGTAAACAATGTCCTTGCTTTTCACTCATTGATATCGTTTGGCTGCAATATCTCCTGCTAACTGTTGCTCTTTAGCATTGAGTTGATGCTAAGCGGTAGCAAAGTACTTGCGCAAATATGAGGCAGTAATGGATCTATCTGCAATTGTTCCGTCAAGATCTTTCAAAACATAGATACCCCGGCCTAAATGTTAATGAATTATATAGGGGCCTTCCCAACTGGGGCTCCATTTGCCATAAACACGATCTTTGTGCCCTAAAGGTGAGATTGTTTTCCACACCATTTCGCCGATGTTGAAACGCTTATATCTGACAAACTTGTTGTAAGCCCGGATGATTCCCGCTTTCTGGTGAATCATATTAGCTGCTCCTATGTTGCGGCAATGGGCCAACTTGTCATGATCAATTAGCATAGCTGTTGCATAGTCAGCAGAATCCAAAGGAGACTATTTCTTAACTCGAAAGGAAGGGATTAGTGTTTCGACAGGCAACACGGCATCATGCCCATAGACCAACTCATATGGGGTTGCCTTTGTACTGTCTCTTTGTGTTACCCGATAAGCCCATAAAGCTTGACGCAGCACTTCATGCCATTGTCGGGGTTATCGAAAATCGTTTTCTGTATGATTCCTTTCAAGGGTTTATTCGTTGATTTGGCTTGATCATTACCTTGAGCAAAATAAGGAAAAGAATGAGTTAGGGTGAAGCCCATATCTTTTGCAAGCTGCGTCATATGCTGACCTGTAAAATACTGCGCTTGATCTATGATGATTGTTTCCGGCAAACCAAACCTGTAGATGATTTTGATAAAGCTGATAACAGCCATATGATCTACATCCTTTAAAGGAATTTCTTCCACCCACTTAGTAAAATAGTCTGTTGCAGCTAGAACATATCTGTGTCCCACAGAAGAAGGTGGACGAATGATGCCTATAACATCAAGGGCCCAACACCGGAATGGCCATGGTTTGATTATAAACTCCATTAGCCCCGGGTGTGTATGTGGATTATCAGCATGTTTCTAACAATCTACACACCCTCTGGGGAAATTAATACAATCCGGAATCATAGTTGGCAAAAAATAACCGTGGCCGCGAAGTAGCCACGCCATCTTCCTGCCTCCTTGGTGGGCACTACAAAAACCTTCAGGAGTTTCTAACAATTAGACCATGGACTCTGGTTTTCCCAAACATCGAAGAAATACTTCATTAGATGTCTGACGATATAACTGCCCTTGCAACAATATGTAGTTGGGCGCCTGTCTCCGGATGGATAACGGTGTGTGGTATGTCGGGTCTTGCAAAAACCTGATTATCGGCGTTCGCCAATCTTCTGTTGCAGTAATTGTTGCAACAGAAAATTTTGCATTCAATGGATATCTAACATAGGCAAGAGTACGAAATCAACTATTTCGTAAGCAATGTCTTGTCCCAATGGTGTCTTAAGGTATCCAGATGCTAATTGTGCCATATCATTTGCTTCTGCATTGAAATCTCTATCAACGTTATGAAACTCAATATGCTAGAATCGGGCAGCTAACATATCTCCCACTGCTGCATATTTAGCCATGACTTCATCACTTCGTTCCATCAACTTCTTCATTTGGCCAATGACTAAAGCGGAATCTCCGATGACCGTTGCATGAGTTGCACCATTATATAGAAGCGTCTCAAGTGCAGCAATTAATCCTTCATTTTCAGCCTGATTATGTGTAGCTTTGAAAGTCAACCAAACTTGACATTGCAGTTTTGGTCCAAATGGTGGTGCAAGCACTATTCCTGCGCCACCACGGTGAAAAGTTCTTGAGCCATTGAAGTGTACTATCCACATAGGAGTTTCTAACTGGTGCACTTGAAAAGTACTAAGGAATTCATCATCCCAATCATCGTCAAGTGAAGGATGTGCGGCTAGGAAATCTACTTACGCTTGCCCTTTATTGCAGTACGTGTTGAAATTGATATTCCATCAAAGCCAGGACGAATTTTCCAATCCGGCCACTCATCATTGGTCGATCCAGCATGTAGCAGACAAGATTGATTTTACTAATAACACAGACTAATCTCGGAAGAATGTAATGTCGCAACTTAGTCGCAGCAAAGTTTTTCAATCGGTGGATACCGACGTTCAGTGCCTGTAAGCATTCTGCTGATGTAGTATATAGCTCTTTCGAATCCGTCATGACCATCTTGTGCTAACAAACAACCCAATGACTCTTCTGTTGCTGACAAACATAGCTTTAAAGGTTTATCCGATATTGGTGGAACCATTACTGGAGGAGTTGATAAAGCTTGTTTAATATTCGGAAAAGCTTGCTGTTGCTCGTCACCCCATACAAAATCCGTTGCAGATTGCACTTTCAAAAGACGAGAAAAAGGTTTCACCTACTTCGACAGATTCGAAATGAATTGGCAAAGGAAATTAACTTTGCCGATTAAGCTCTGTAACTCCTTCTTTGTCTTTGGGGGGTCTAGCTTCAATGATTGCTTTAGCTTTTTCTTCATCTATTTCAATACCCCTTGAGTGTACTAAGAACCCCAAGAAAACTCCTGAGGAAATAGCGAATGCGCATTTCAATTGGTTCAACTTCAGTTTATACTTCCTCATACGCTCAAAACACTGACGCAGATGTCGTAAGTTATCTCCAAAAGAATGTGATTTCATCACCACATCATCTATGTATACGTCCAGAACCCTTCCGATGAGATCATGAAAGATGCAAATCATTGCTCTTTGGTACATTGCTCCGGCATTCTTTAATCCGAATGGCATAACCTTCCACTGGAAAATGCCTAAGGATCCTGGCGCACGGAAAGCAGTCTTATGAACATCTGCAGGAGCTATGAAAATTTGGTTATATCCTGTGTTGCTATCAACAAAACTCATGACTAGAAAACCTATCAACATGTCAATCAATGTTTTCACATTCGGCATTTGATATTCATCCTTGGGAGATGCTAGATTAAGATTACAGAAATCCGTGCAAACCCTGGTTTTGCCATTTTTCTTCATAACGGGGACCACATTAGATAACCATTCAACATATACTGCAACTTCGATAAAGTCAACTACCAATAAACGTTCAATCTCTTCCTTCACCTTGTTGACCACATCCTCTGAAAAACCTCCTTGGTGGTTGTTTGAATGGCTTGAAACCCTCTTTTAAAGGGATACTGTCTTTTACCAAACTTCGATCTAAACCTGGCATTTCTGCATAGTCCCAAGCAAAACAATCACGATACTGCTTCAAAAGATCAACTAGTGACTTCTTGTCATTGGCAGATAAGGAAGAACTAATATAAGTAGGCTTCTCCTCGCCAGATGATCCTAAGTTTATTGCTTCGACTGGTTCTTTGATAACAACTGCTTCATCACTTAACTTTGGAGTTGTAGTAGCCAATTCACTCAAATTGATGACATCACTGTTTGAAACTGGATCTGCATCATAAATTACTTCATCCCAACATACCTCAGGTTTTTCAATTTGATGTTGATGCTCATTCTCAAAATACTGCAACACACGCTTGATGGCGATTTGCTTTTCATTTGCCTTCAACAATTCTTGATCTAACTCCATTGTATCCAAAACACTTAACTGTTCAATTGTCTTCATTAAATACTTCTTCAATAGACGGAGCAGCTAGCAACGACCTTAACATGTTGTAATTGTATGGCCTTTTGACTTCTTGTAACAACATCCACTCTAGAAGACTCATATCACGACGCATAGTGGCCTGTTGTGGCCGACCATACTTATCCATCCCAACAAGATGGTATGGACCTACTTCACTGTTGTAATAGTAAGCCTCTATAGCTTTAGCTTGAGCTGCAAATGGACTTGCATCGGTAGCTATGATTTCTGGTCCATCTGTTCCCCATATAATAATTGCTTGATGTAATGAGGAAGGGTTACATCTTGCTGAATGGATCCAGTCACGCCCTAAAAGGGCATTGTAAGACGCTTTAGTGTCAACCACAAAGAACGTCGACACCACCACTTGTGATCCTTCCTCCACTTGTAATGGGAGGATTCGTTTAGTGGTTGTAATGTCTCCTGTAAATCCGCTAACAAAACATTCAGTTGGCACTAAATCTTTGAGTTACTCGCATAATCTCTGTAAAGCTCTTGTGGGTAAGATATTAATTGTTGCATCGTTGTCCACTAACACCGGTCTCAATGGTACTCCATCCATGATGGCACAAATGTATAATGGCCAAAAGTGAGTCCCAGAGTTCTCAGCTAGCTGAGAGAGCATTATGAGCGAGCCTTTACCTTCTTGAGATAGCAGCTGAATACCACCAACCGTAGCATCATGTGTTTCTGTTACGAACGAAGCTGCTTCAGGAACAACTAGTGAGTGTGCAACAGCTTTGGGGATGATAGTTGTTGTAGTTGCTGGTTCTTTCAAACGAAAAGTTTTCGGTAACATATAAACCATGTTTAATGGTGGGAAGAACGTATCCACTTTCCTCCACAACTGTGACCGTCTATCTTCCTGCCCTGAAAACTCATTCATTGACGCTTGCTGGGATAACAGTGGTTGTTCCTCTTGTACCCTTCCTAACTTTCCTGTTGCACCCCTATTTTGTTTATTGACAACCCTCTGCCATCGTCGTTTATGTGTCCTGGTCATCTTTTCTTTCCTCAATGGCGGAGTAGGGAACTTCGGATGAACAGCGCGATGACATTCTCTGTCATTCACGGGTGCAGCTCTGACTGACCTTTGCTCGGTATTGTCCCTTTGGCTGGAACGCTGAATCCGTTGCCACACTGACGGTCTTGTATCATGAACTTGGTATTGCGAGTTAGCCTTAGGGTTAACAACGGTATTCCCCGGCCTTGTATGGACGGGCACTCATTGTTGCGTCTGAAGAACTTCAGCATTCAAACCCTGATGCTGTAAACTCCGTTGCTGATTTTGGTTCAAAGCACTCAAGATTGCATCTGACACAGCTCTCAATTTGTCTTGCTCCGGATCTAAATGTGTTTCCTTTTGTACCCATATCTGCGTCTATCCATTTATCACTATGTTCACTTCTGTTGCAGATGTACGTGTATTATGTCAATGCAAATGGCCCCTGAATTTAGACCCTAGCTCTTGCTACTGTTGCTTGACCTTATTATATACTTTGTCACAATCTTCACAACCAGTGACCAAACATGCGTCAGAGGAATGACTTCCGAATCCTACATTCACCATTCAGACTTGATGCTATGGTGGGAAAGAATTGACATTCATTTGAACTGGATCCTCTACTACGACATTACCATCATCAATCATCTTTTAAAATTTATTTCAAAACACCACACAACTATTTATGGTGTGAGTCCATGACATGTGATACTTACAATACGTCTTTCCAACCAGATCTGCCGGCTTTGGTTGTCTATATTCCCTTCTGTACTGGATATGGCCTTCCTCTTGTTGCGAAATGTCAAAAGAATATACTCTACCAATGTTAGCTCCGTCAGCTTGCACTGAGGTGCTTATCGGTGCACCTACCGGTGGGGGAGTAGTATAAGAACGTGGAACTGTAGGGCGACGTAATGCGTCACACGTATAGTTACGGACACTGATGATTTCAGCGGCATTAACCTCGTATTCATCGTCGTCCTCATCATGAACCCATTGATTCTGATTCACTTCCGCTATTGACTTTGTTGAAACATTGCTTCGTCTTTCCCGGGTTCTTCTCCCTTTTATCTTTAATGACTTTCTCACATCTCCTTACAATATCTGCCAAATGATTTAAAGATCAAACAGAATGCAGTGCAACGGCCAACTTGACTTTGTAATCCTGAATCCCAGCAATTGCCATCTTGACAATAGTTGGTTCATCATACTTATCCGGTATCTTAGTATACATTTGACGAAAGCGTATCAAATAAGCTTCCACAGTTTCTCCAAACTGTTGTCAAATTTCTGAAAGATCAACGATCGACAACCGTGTGGTATCCCTATTGAAGTAAGACAAGAATTCTCGCTGCTGCATTTCCCATGACGGGATAGAGCCTGGTGCTAGTGATCAATACCAGTCAAAGGTGGTCCCTTTTAGAGAATAAGGGAACAAACGCAACTTGATTAAAGCATTATTTCTTACCGACCCGCATTGCAATTCAAACAAACTTATATGATCCTCGGGTCTCTTCTCATCCTCTCCTGAGAATTGCTGAAAATCGGGAATCTTAAAGTTCCTTGGCAATGGCTCCCATTCGACATAGCGGGGATATGGTTTTCCTGGAAGCTCTGGAATTTCTGTGCCCAACTCCTTACGGATCTTGTCCTCTATCATTCTTGAAAACACATCCTCAGCGTTTAAGATGTGATCAACACTTGTCTCGAAATTCTGTTGCTGATTATCGTTCGCTGCTGCATACGGTTCTTCTCTAACTTTGTGACCGAGATCAACCTAATGACGACCACCTCCTTGACCCCATAAACGCTGGTGACGTGGGTTATGCCTATTTTTCAAATTCTGGTTTCCGATATGTCTTCCAATAGCTTGCGCCCTATTTCGATTCAGAATTCGGTTTGCTACGTACTCCATCCACTATTGTTCCTCTCTATTCTCTTCCAATATTTAATGAGCTGGAACAATTTGCGAATCAGCAACAACAATACCAGAGCCTTGAGGTATGTGTGAATCATCCAAATTTGTAGTTGCGGTATTATTTCCTGCTACTCGGTTCTGATATAATATAAAGCGGCGATCATTGGTCGCCTGCACGTGTTGACCAGCCTGCCTTGCATTTTCAATAATAGCACCTTGATTGTTTCCCGTACCAACAGGGCCCTGATTGATTGTTACACCCGCAGTTCCTTGGACACCTACATCTGTTGTTCCCTGTGGTATGTATGTTAGCCTAAGCGCACCTTCTTGTCCACTCAGTTGTGATGGGACCACCGCTGATCCTTGTCGATGTTGCATTGTTGAAACTTGTTGTGGAAATGCAGCATTTTCCAACTGAAATTGATTTGCCTCCTGCGTATTCCTTGCAACAGTATTATGTGTTGCATTTCCCACCTACTGCATTCCTGGAGTCACCGGCCACGGCACCTAGAATCTTTGATAGGGTAATTGCTGTCCCCATGACGTTCCAAGCATCATCACTGGTGTGCCATATTGAGAGGACAATGGAGGCAACTGACGTCCATCAAAAGTAAAATTCCCTGGTGGTGGCACAAAAGGTGGCTGACTTGGAACAACTGGGTAATACCAACTTTGTATTCCTTGTAATGCTACGTTGTGACTGGTGGCACCTCTGAACTCACTGCTCCTGTAGCCGTGTTAACTACTGACGTCATCTACAAAGTGTAGCACTTCCTGTATTTGCATTGTGGTCAATTAGCCTCTGAAAAGCATCCTCAAAACCCTCCACTTGTGTAACCGTAGCATGCTTTATTTCTGAAAATTGTTGATGTAAGATCTCGGGGGTTATCCCTGGAATCTGACTCGTTTGGCCCTGGATACTGAACACAGGAACCTGCAACAACGGGCTCTGAAAGGTTGGAGTTTGAAACACTGGACTTCTATAGGACCCGAGATAACTCGATCTTTCTCTGATTAGACCTGATCCCACATTGGACTGTTGCTGGCTAGAATGCTGTCGTATCCCAGTGAACTGATCCGTTATTACTGTTCAGTAGGACTCCACCGCCGAGATGTTTGGAAATGTATTCATCGGCAAGGAACTCCCACCTGATGCAAAAGTCTGAATCGGTATAGAGTTCTGTCCTACAGAATGAGCTGTTACTGATGACTAAGGTAATGACATTGTTTTTCTGCTTAAACAGCGCCTGGAATACGCAAATCAGTCCCACTGGGCGTGCCAAATTTTATGTTTGAGTCAAAATTGTATTTGAGAGTGAAGACCGATTCGGCTAAAACTAATTTCAAACGACTGCGTGACATTCTCAAAATACGGAGTCCAAATGCTGAGATTGGCCTGAACGGACTGATGCCTTTGAATTGACACTCAATCAGCGACCCAGAAGAGACAAAAAATTATGGAAAATGGATAAAACGGCCTACAAGAGCCTGATTTATTGATTTGATTAAAGACGAGTCGGCTTTGAATAGCCCGAAACGTCGAAATGATTACAAGAATGAAGATCAAAACTTAAAAGAATACATTAAAAGCTTGAGAATCGAAAGATAACAACTGTAAAGAAAAATATGAAATTCTGATTCTTGAATGATGAGTGCGGTCTTCTCCCGGTGCCTCCTTAATTGCTTTTATATAGGTTTCGCCAACCCTAGCTAAGTTGCAACAGAAGTCGAATTTAACAAGGATTTCTATTGCAACTGGAACCCTTCTTCGATATGGCTTACGGCGTCATTGACTCCTTTTTGGACTCGGCCTCCTTGCTCTTTGTTGCATCCGTGAATTCTTATTAGGGCGGGTTTCATCCCGATTCTTCTTCCATTAAAGTGCTGGGATAGGCCCATTCTCGTGTGGACCAGATTTGTCAAAAATCGGTCCAACAAATTGTAGTCGGATTAGCAACCTTCGGGATTAGGACAATGAGAGTTCTATTCAACTCCTTCGGTATTGCGTGACTATCCCAAACTCTATGGATCAACTCACATACAGATAGCCCCACAATTTCCCAATTATGCTGAAAAAACAACGCATGTAATCCACCCAGACCCGGTGCTTTCAAGGACGCCATAGTTTTCAATGCCTAGAAATCTCCGCATCAAGCATTCTTTTTCCAATAACTTCCATACACTCCCTTTCAATTTGTGGAAAACAATCCGGCAGCATAGTGGAGTTTGTATTTGGCGGGGCTGAATATATTTTTTCAAAATACCTCATGGCCAGTTGTCGCAAAAGGACATCATTCACGATCAAATTGTGTTCCTCATCCATTAGAGCAAAATTGTCATACTGACGGCCCGACTTTTCACTTTATGGTGATAGAATGTCGTATTATGATCACCGAAAAGGGACCAGTCTCTCTATGATCCCTGCAAAAGAAGTAGCTCCTTTTGAAACATCACGTCATTAAACTCCTCCCTCAAATGTTTTCAAGCTAAACAAGTTTATTGACGAGTCCATATCCATCATCTTCAATGGGCCGGTCCATTCTCGGCTTTAGGGTCTAACCGCCCTTGGTATGGCTGTGTGTTATTAGTAACACTAGTAATAATTGGATGCTTCCCAGGTCTATAAATAGGGACCATTATTCCATAATAAAGGTACGCAATCCTGGCTATCAAACCATACACACATAACCCTAATTTTAACTTAAGCTTCGGAATGTCTACACTCGGGAGACACCCGAGGTTCTGTTTTGCAGGAAACCCTAACTGGTGTTCCACCCTACATCCGCGGTACAATTCCAGGTATCGCCAAGTGGCACGCCCACTGAGACCTGAAAATTAGGGTTTGTGTCACCAAGCTTTCTTAAGCTTTCCAAAACCTTTCAATCCACTCCCAACGCTTCAAGAACAGAGTCGATGGAAGAAAAGATGGTGGTAGTTGATAGTCCTCAATCCAGTGCTGCATCAACAGGAAGACAGATGAGCCCCGAGGACGGCAAAACCCTAGCACACTTCCGATGGAGGCAAAAGCAGAAACGAAATGACCTACGGACGAAGAAAGAGACCACTCCTGTAAAACCAGCCGATCAGAAAGGTTACCGTGAAGCCCCCGATCCGTATCAAAAACAACGGCTGGCTGAGATCGAAGCAGAACTGAAGAAGTTGAAGGACGATAATTCCCTCAACCAAAGAAAAAAGAAATATATCCTCGCGGTATATAAGCACTGCTGTCTATTAGGCCTTCCTGACCCAACGGGTCAAGAGATGGAGGAGTTAGTCGAAGAAAAAGAGGCAAGAAGGACCTTGGATCTCCTCGAGATCAGAAGAGGCAAACGCCCAGCCCCAAACGAAAGGGAGGAAAGGGCTCATAAAGAAACCTCCTATTGTGAAGCTTCTCGCACTAAACCTTCCGAGGCCCCCGGCGATACTTTTTGGGAAGCACTCGAGAAGACAAATCTAGTGGTTTATCAGGCGATTCAGTAGTTTGCACAGGAGTACGAGCAGAAGAATCAATCTCGCAGACAAGACCGACAAAGATCACCCAGCGTTGAGGAACTGTCTAAAAGGGAGTGGGAACCCCCAAGAGCCAATGGCCACTCTCGATTCGGACCCAAAGGGACACAGGAAAAGTCCCGTCATGACTATCGTCGAGGAAGAGATCCACCACCTCGAAATCAAAAAAATCAAGGCATCCAGGATCCTTCAATTCGAGACTCAATGCGGAGGATGATAGGGATGTTTGTGGACCGAAGCCCTTTCATCTCCAGGATTCGAGAGACTTCGACTTCCCCAAAGACTTCACCTGTTATACAGGAGATTCTGATCTGCAGCGATTTTTAAACAAGTATGTCCAAGTCCTGAGAATCCGTAATGCATCCCTGGACTTCATGGCAAAAGCTTTACCATCATTCCTCGATGAGCAAGCACAACGTTGGTTTGGACAGCTGCCGGAAGGAAGCATTGATAGCTTTGAGGATCTTACGGTAAAACTAGCCACCCTGTTTTTCCTCAGCAAGCAAGTTACAAAGATGTCCATTCAATCTCTCCAAATTGACTATCTCGATGACAGAGACGTGAGGAATGGCTTCATCCAAGGACTTAGCCCTTGGGGAAAATCCGCCCCCCTGCGAGTAAAATTAACTACTAAACCTCCACAAAACACCCAAGAGATGTGGGCCACGGTGGAAAGCTGTATCCAACGGGAACAAACACTGAAGAATTCCCAGGAATCATTCTCACTTGTAGGGGAGTAAGGAGGGAAGGACAGATATAAATCCCTGACTGAAAGCAAACCTTCCCTGCCCAGGCTTGACAGATTACTCACTCCATTGATAAAGCCCCGCAGAGAGATACTCCAAATCCACAAGGACGAGTACCCAATCCCATAGCCCCTGACTCAAAATCCAAATAGGTCCACGGATCGGTATTGCGAATACCACAAGGACTATGGGCATGATATGGAAGATTGTCAGGAGCTCAAGCGGGAAATTGAAGCAGGAGTGAAGTCCGGTAAATTTCAACAGTATGTACAAAACACACAAGGCACCGCTCGAGGAGATACCCACTGTTCTCGAGAAAAATCCGGTGCCCCCCGCAGCTTCCCCAGGCGAATCAACAATCGTGGTTCCCGCAGAGACAACCAAGGAAATAATTGGCAACCGAGGGACAACTCACAGCCACTGGCTCAACAAATTCTCAATAACAAACCGTAGCCAATACAGCAAATACCTCCCCTCGATCCCGCTAAGCAGATTACCCATAATGTCAGAGCAATTTACGGAGCACCTCTCGAGGTTCTCTCGACAACAACAATGAAAGCCTCTGTTCGATAAGTAACAAAAACTCCACCACAGGAGCCGAGTCACTACCGGTTTAAAGGAACTGAGGCAATTGTTTTCACCGATAGTGACGTCGCCCCCGGCGTTTGTCCCCACAGCGACGCCATGGTTTTCGATGACATCATAGGTAACGTGGGGGTTAGCCGCGTGTACGTCGACAATGGCAGCGTAGTCGACATCATCTACAATGACTATTTCAAGAGAATGAACATACAGAATCCAGACTGGCGCCCGGCTACCTTACCATTGATGGGCTTCTCTGGGCACACGATAATCCCAAATGGGATCGTAAGGCTTTCAATCACGGCAGGGACGTATCCTCGAATGGTAAATCTAACGATGGATTTCACCATAATCGATGCTCCCTCGCCATTTAATGTGATTCTAGGATGGCCGTGGATGTGCCAAGCCCGCGCTGTCTGGTCACCCTACCACTTGGTCATGAAATTTCCAACGGAATATGGGATAGGAATAGTCCAAGGGTGCCAACGCAGCTCTCGATAATGTCTTCTCACGGCAGTAAAAATTGGAAAGAAAAAAGTAAAGCCGGAGCTAGCTGTCACAACATCAGGATGTTACTCGATTTGGCAAGGCGTATCAAGGGCCGGGTATAATGAGAGAAAAAAAGAGGTCTCAGGCATGGATCTCGAACAAAACCTCCCGCTCAGTAGCAAGACGAAAGAGTTGATGTTGGATGAAAAGGAGCAGAAAAGACCATCAAACTTGGTAAATCCATTGAGGGAACGCTGCGGGCCGGAGTAATTGCCGTATTACGCGACTTTTGGGACATTTTCGCATGGTCACCATCCGACATGACCGGCGTTCCTCGACATATTATCGAGCATAAGCTAAATGTAGATCACCAACAAACCGGTTAAACAAAAGAAGAGGATTTTCACTCGAGATTGCAATGATGTGATTAATGAGGAAACCCTCAAGCTGGTTCGAGCCAATATCCTCAAAGAAGTGCTCTGGCCCACATGGTTGGCCAACCCGGTTTTTGTTTGCAAACCTGCCAATTGACCAAATGGTGGAAGGTATTACTGGTTACAGGACCTTTAGCTTTCTCGATACATATAAAGGATACCATCAGATTCATATGGCCCGGGAGGACGCTGAGAAAACGGCTTATATCACGGAGATTGGAGTGTATTGTTACGACAAAATGCTATTAGGGTTAAAACGCTAGGGCCACCTACCAGCGTTTGGTTAATAGGGCTTTCCACAATCAAATTGGAAGGAACATTGAGATCTACGTGGATGACATGGTTATCAAGAGCAAATTGGACAGCAGGGTGGTCGAGGACATGAAGGAGATATTCACAATCCTGCGAAGAATTAACATGAAACTCAACCCAAAAAAGTGCACCTTCTGTGTGGGTTCTGGGAAATTCCTCGGATTTCAAGTGTCAAAGGACGGAAAAAGCGTAGATCCTTCAAAAGTCGAAGCAATTCTTTCGATGGAAGCCCCGAAAACCGTCAAGGATGTACAGAAACTCACAGGATCAATGGTAGCGGTTAACAGGTTTTTGTCTCGAGCAGCAGAGAGAAGCCTCCCCTTCTTCAAGACCCTAAGAAAAGGGAGAGGTTTCCAATGGACCGAAGAATGTCAAAAAGCTTTCCAAGAGTTAAAGGAACATCTCAAGCAACTCCCCATGCTGGCAAAACCACAGCCAGGAGAAGTTCTATATCTCTATTTAGCCGCTCGAGAAACGGCCATATCTGCGGTGCTGATTCAGAAAAAAGACAATAAAGAGCTCCCTGTCTACTTTGTCAGCAAAGTCCTGCAAGGGGCGGAATCTCGATAAACCCCTATGGAAAAGCATATCCTAAGCCTTGTGCTCGCTGCCCGACGGTTGCGCCCCTACTTTCAAGCTCACCCCATACAAGTCTTAACCGAGCAACCTATCCAGCAAGTCCTCCTCAAACCGGAAGTTTAAGGCAGAATGATGAAATGGGCGGTCGAGCTGGGGGAACACCGTATAGAGTTCAAGCCCTGCACGGCCATAAAAGGGCTGGCATTCGCAGATTTCCTAGTGGAAATGCCCAGAGCTCCAGGAACCATGCAAGAATCAACACCGAAGAAGCAACTACAAGAACATCGCTCCACAGATCCTCGAGCCTGGACTCTGTACGTAGACGGCTCTTCTTGTGAAGACGGGGGAGGAGCATCTATAATCCTAGCAAAGCCAGCAGCACCTTGAGAAATTGAGGAAATCAAAGAATACGAAGTAGAATATTCCTACGCCCTGCGGTTCGGTTTCCCAGTTACTAACTATGTCGCTGAATACGAGGCAATGATTACGGGGTTAAATACGGCCCTCAAGTTAGGAGTTCAAAAGTTTCAAGTTTTTAGCGATTCTCAAGTAATGGTTAAACAAATCAAAGGTGAGTACAGAGTCCGTGAGTAACACCTTCGGCCATACCTTGAGAAGGTCCTGGAAATCAAAGACAAGTTTGAAGAATGCTCCATCTCTCACGTCCTCAGAACCAGCAACAAAAGAGCCGATGCACTGAGTAAGCTCGCTTCATCCAATTTCGCTAATCTCAGTCATAATGGAGGGTTGAGATGCTCCCTGAACCCAGCATCCACCCTAAAGTTTCCCTGGCTATTACCAAAGATAAGGATACATGGATGACTCCATTCGTCCAATTCCTCGAGAATGGAACGTGCCCCGATAACAGATAGGAAGCTCGAGCGTTGAAGCTGAAAGCAGTCAAATATACTCTGAAGGATGGAATCCTCTACAAACACGGGTACTTGTTACCGATGCTGCGGTGCGTCAGACCAAATCAAGTAGCATACATCCTCAAAAAAGTCCACGAGGGGTCGTGCGGAGCCCACATGGGAGCGAGAAGCTTGGCCAAAAAGGTCTTTCTAGCAGGATACTTCTGGCCCTCAGTTTTTAGGCATGCTTACCACTTCGTCCAAAAGTGCCACAAATGCCAAAGGTTTTCACCAATAACTCGATTGCCACAGCACAAGATGGTAACCAATTGGCCATTCTACCGATTGGGGACCAACATCATTTGCCCCTTTCCAAAAGGGGCGGGAGGACTGCGATGGGTCATTGTAGCCGTGGATTACTTCACCAAGTGGGTAGAAACAAAACCATTGGCCTTGATATCGGGAAGAAAAGTGTTGAATTTCTTCTTGTAGAATGTGGTTTGCTGGTTTGGAGTGCCCAAGGTGATTGTGTCAGACAATGGAACCCAGTTCGAGAGCGACCCCTTCAAGTCATGGTCCGCGGAGATGCAGATCGAGTGTCGATTCTCCGCTGTCGCCCATCCGGAAGCAAATGGACAAGCTGAGTCAATTAATAGAACCATCCTACACAGAATTATAACAAGGCTGCATAATGCAAAAGGGGCTCTTGTCGAAGAACTTTCTCATGTTTTATGGGCATATCGCACCACAACTCATTCCTTGACAGATGAGACGCTATACAACATAGTCTATGGAATGGATGCCGTCCTCCCAGTTGAAAATTGCCTACCAAGTCCTCGAACAATCAACTTCGTCGAAGACACCAACAACGAAGATATCCTGACTAACCTTGACCTGCTCGAGGTGCGGCGAGATACCGTAAAAGTCCTGGAAGCTAAGTACAAGGAGATCCTCAGAAAAAATTATAACAAGCGAGTCAAGAGCACTGACTTCGTAATCGGGGACTTGGTGCTTAGAAAGAACAACGCCAGCTGAGCAGAGACCCCGGGAAATTAGCAGCCAACTGGGAAGGATCCTATCGAGTCATTCAAGTCTCTCCTTCGAGCAGCTACCGATTGCAGACGACAGATGACACGGGAACCATTCTCCCACGATGGTGGAACATTCAGAATCTCCACAAGTTTTATGTTTAGATCCCTTGCATGCTACTTGTGATTTTATTTGCTAAGTGATTTGATTGCTTTCGTTCGTTTGTATGTGATGCTAACCTAGGTCCTCGGGTAATTATCAATAAAAGTCATTACATATTCATTCTATATATTTGCATGTGTCAACAATATCTTATGACTAGTCATCGAGATGGACACCCTCTATAGGGCCATCCTCGATTTGAGCCGTGTATTCAACATCTGGACCCTTAAGATGAGGACTCCTCCTCGCATCCACCGTAGATTGCGGTATTAGTAAGTCAAGGGATCCGTATCCGATTCCTCGACGAAGCCGTGTAATTAACATCCGGCTAAACAAGCAATATACAAACATTCTCGAGTACAAATAACTGACGCTAACACAGCTCAGTTCAAGTATAATACCCTCACGCTAAGTGCGGGGTTAAAAAAGGTATATCGATATACATGATATCTACCTAAATCTTGAGGTCCGTCCCCTTCGGGTTAAAACGGGAGGGCTTAATAAGGCCAGACTATTCAAGCGACCTAAGCATATGGAGACAATGACCAAGTTTATCTCTCAAATCTAAAATCTCCCAATCCTGATCATTGAGTCTAACAAGATACTCCTCAGCAGCTGCCCTCTCCCTCGCTTTGTCCTCCAGATCCAGGTCGTCGAGAATGGGTAAAGAAATCTGGTTGTCCACCAATATGTTCTGCAGCACAGTAGCCTGCCTCGAGTAGAACTCCGCCTCTCTGGTCCTCTTCTTCAGGAGGTTGATGGCAGCAATAAAACGTTCAGTGCGAACCTTTATTTGAGACTCGACCGGGGCAAGCATATCAAACTTTTCGAGGAACCACATAGATATAACAATTTTCTTGCGCCTCCCAAGCTGAGAGTTTTCCCCCTTCAGCTTCCCCATCTCCTCGTCAATGTTTGCTTCAAGAGACAGGGAAGCATGGAAGTCCAAGTTATATTGGTGAAGTCGGCGCTTCCATTCTTCCTCTTGCTGTCTAAAGGGCTGTACCAAAGGGGAGTGCACCCGTAGGTTAAGTGCGTTAACAGCATCAGAAAGCTCTTTCTCGAGGAGTTTTACTTTGTCGGTGTTATGGACATCCCCAAATTTCCTCAGAATCGAAGAAATCATCGCATACATGGGAAACTTCACAACCTCATCTTCCTCAAGAACCAATAGATGTAAGAGATGAATAAAGTATGAATCCTGGCATAAGGGACAGAAATATGTCAAATGTTAAAGAGGCACCGATTTAATAAGTAAGTGGCAAAAAGGTTCGAGAATCGCTACAACATTCCAATGTCTACAACCTTAGCAACAAAAACCCTATTACAAAGAGAAGGTTCAAACTTCCTTCTGACTCGGCAGCTGGCTTGGTTGGCTTTCGTTGGTTTCCTTGACAGGTGAAGGAGCCGACGTTCCTTCCCCACCAGCTCCTGGTTGTTCTGATCATCTTCCCTGACCTGCTCCGAGGAATCCTCTTCCCATTCCACCTCGATGCCGATAAAGTCTGGGGCCAACTCCGGAACGCGAACCTCCTCTCCAGCATCATCAGGAAGCACCGTGAGAGCATCTCCCTCGAAGGAAGCAATCTCTGTCGAGGACCTCATCTGAGAAACGGCACTGCATAATGGCCCAAACAAGGGGAGCTGGCTGTCAGAAAGTTGTTGCAATCCTTTCTTGAGGGCTTCGTGAAGAGTTTTCTTAGGATGTAGCCTTATAAATTGTTGAAGCCACCCAGCATTGATGGTCCTTCCGCTCTCCATCCTGTCAAGAGCAGCCACGGCTACACCATGTCCCCCCAATGCCTTAGCATCATTGCTCATGCCAACCAGGATGCTCGCCAGCCCACCGTGGGCACCATTCTTGCCCAAAAAGCAGCCATCCAGGCCTGTAAATCTGATTTGGGAACATCCCTATATTCTGACAGCTTGGCCTCGACTTCCTTATACATGGCCTGAACATTGGCCAGCTCCTACTCCCTAGCAAGTCTCAGAGCATGTTCCTCCTTCCTCGACTCCTCGCTTGACTGCTTCTCCTGCTCGAGGAGCCCCTTCCCGGCCTGCAAGCTGGCAATCTCTTGCTTCAGCGTCTTCTCTCGCATGAGGATGCTGGCCATGGCGGTAGTCAACTACAACAAATACATAATGAATGTCAGCAAGGGTATCATAAAGCCTCCTGGAAAAACATAACTTGTGGTTAGAAAAAGGTTACCATTTTTAGCGACTCCTCTTCGGTCAAGGTCGCCGCAACCTCCTCGATGATGGGGCACTCCATTTGATTATCACCAAAATGTTAGATGGCAGCGGCAGCAGTATATGTTGACGATCCCTCGGTGTCCTTGACGTTGTTCTTCTTCTCTAGAGAAGCCTCGAGCGGCCAGAACCACTCTGGATGCCACTCTGTTGCCGGAATGGCCTCCGGTATTGGGTCCTCGGGCATCGGGACCTCTGCTTCTTTGGTGGTAGAGGGGACATCATTCGACGGATCAGCTGTGTCGTCAACTCTCCCCCCCCCCCTCTCGATCGGGGCTCCCTCCTCGATCGGATTTTCTATCTCCTCGAGAGTGGGAGGTTTCTTCTTCTTGGCCTTGCCGCCCGCGTCGGACGCCTTAACGAGCCTTCTCAACTTCCTCTTCTTAGTGACCTTGTTAGATCACCCCACATCATCTAAATTTTTAATTTCAAAAATCTGGGCGTCACCAAACAATCCAACGGTATCTTTGCTCGATGACATGACCTAAAACAAAGACAATGCACATAACGAGTTATTACCTTTTTTTCCCCTCGACGCGAACTGGAAGAATGTATTGATGCACTTCGATGTAGCCAAGGATGTTCTCGACAGACTCTAAGGCATTAATGTCAGCCCTATGCCTCTCGATTCTGGCCTTATCATGCTTGGACCAAGCATCTGCCACCCCGCCCATTTCATGGGCTTCCCGATAATCTCAAGCCATACAAAAATTCTCAGGAGCCGAAACAAACAAATAATTTGGCTTCCGTGATGGGGCACCATCGAAGAGTTCTATTATACGGTTCGCCTTCGAGGAAACATTCGTCTTAACGTTATACCAGTCCTTGTATTTGGTCGAGCGCACACAGACCTTAAAAAAATATCTCCATACTAACAATCGAGGCGTTATCTTCTTTAGTTCACAGAGTCTCAGGAATCCGAGAACTACTATGACTAAGTTTAAGGTAAATCGAGCAAGGGGCATCTTATAGTACTGCACTATCCTACCAAACAGAGGGTGAAGGAGAAATCTTAGTCCTAGGAACAAGGACCTATCATATACAGTGATTTTTTCCTCTGGTAGAATATTAGCTCTCTCAGTACCTATGGGGGCTCGATATTCTAGATCTATGGGGAAGTTATATTTTTCGACGATGACTTTAGCCTTTTCAGCAGAATCTATGGTTGATGCAAAGTCGGAGACTCTTTGCGACGCCATATCTATCCTAATATATGCCAATCTAGCAGGGTTCAAATAAAGCAAAATATATACACAAATACACAGTGTTGAGAGTACCAGAAGGTCGGAGGACTTATGCGATAACGCTTCCCCGGTGACGACTATTGAACGAATTTTCAGAATTTGCTGATTTTCCTTGATGGCAATATTTGGTTGACAGAGGAATTTGGTGCACTGGAACTTTCTAACTACGAGTTTGGCAAAAGAAGCAAATGGCTAAAGCCTGTAGCTTTCCCACCGGTTAAAAAAACTATATATATAAGGCACTTTCTCTCTCCCACATCCCGACACCGTAGGGGAAGTTCAGGGCACAATCATCATTGCCTAGCCGTCATTTGGGAATCGTTCTCGTTAAAGGGGCATAATTTCCATTTAGGCGGGATTTAAAAGTCGGGTCACCTTCCCGGTTCGGATCCTCGCCCGCGGATAGTCACATTTTGATTGGGCCGAGGCTTATTTATTTTATATGGGTCGGGCCAGGTCAGTTTTATTTAATGGCAAGTCTTATTTATTTCACATAATTAACACTTGACAGGGGCAGTTGACGAGTCCACATCCATCACCTTCGATGGGTCGGCCCATTACTCGGCTTTAGGGTCTAACCGCCCTTGGTATGGCGGTGTGTTATTACTAACCCTAGTAATAATCGGATGCTTCCCAGTTCTATAAATTGAGACCATTATTTTACAATAAAGGTATCCTGGCTATCAAACGATACACACATAACCCTATTTTCTAACTTAAGTTTCAGGGTGTCTACCCTTAGGAGACACCCGAGGTTCTGTTTTGTAGGAAACCCTAACCGGTGTTCCACCCTACATCCGCGGTACAATTAAAAATACTAAAAATTAAGGACCCCTAATAATTGAGGGCCTAAAGTGGCGGCTTTACCTGCTTTATGGTGAAGCTACCCCTGAGTTGATCTATCTTGTGAGAAACTAAAAAAGAAACAAACCAGAAGAAATCATGCATATATCCGACACCCCGGGGAAAAAACAAATTAAGAAAGAGCAAAAAAAATAAAAGAACTCTTTCTGTCCCGAAATTATTTTTCAGTTAGAATTTTTATTTTTAGTATAAATTGAACAAAAAGTGAAAATTCAAGCTGCACAATAATTTTAGGAGAGAGAGAGAGTAGTTAAATGCATGAGGAAATGATGGCTGACTAACAAGGGTAAGTTGGGTATTTAAGCAATATTGTAAACCTTTTATCATATCCCAATATGATATCCTCTAATTTAAACCCTCACCTTGAGAATGAGAAAGGTATAAATTGAAAAATTTGTGGCTAGTGTGTGGAGATCCTATCTACAATTTTTTGTGATGTATCTCAACCCTAATCTTAGTACTACCTCATTTTCTTTTTTAATATGTCCCATCATTGTACGTCCGAGATGGTTTTTTTTCCCATCTCTATTTTGTCATTCACAACTTAGCATTAACTATATATTTTTTTTCACTTATAATTTGTTAAGGATAAAGTACAAAAGTGATCTTGTTGTTCACAAGAAGTCTTCTAGTAGTCTTAATCCAGTTGATTACTTCTAGTGGTCAACTATTTATACTATTTATTTTTACTATATAAATAAATTAGTTACTTTACCATATTTATCATTTCGTTTTTTTATAACATGGATAGTAAACTGTTAGGAACACTTGCACACTAGACATAATCATCTACCACTCTTGATAACCAACCAAACGATACTGGTTACAGTTAGAATGGCACCATAGATCACCATATTATGATAGAAAGAACACCCCAAATCTTAGAAGTTAAGCAAACCATTCACTATGTAGATGACACATCCTATGCAAAATGGTTACATTCGCTAAAAAGTGTAATAGGATTCTTTCTCGAAACAGCCTTGGGAATTAGAATTTCCAGTCTCCAGTTTGGTGCAGCATGGCATCAATCTCATCCCCATCTTCCATCTCCAGCTCTTTAGGAGTCTGCTCTCCACGCAGACGATGCCCATCAAATAGAATTGCTATGGAAGTAAAATCCACAGATTGCAAGTCGCAGTAACCATTCATAAGCTTTTTCAGTTCAGTGCTTGTTTTGATCTTGAAGAAGACTTCATTTCCATCCTGGCCTTTGACTTTCAGATTGATGTGGGCCGATTGATCGCCACCGGGTTTCTTATCTTCATCGGCGGTTTGAGACATTCTCTGACTTTGGTTGTCCCCTTTTCTTCTTCTCCTCCTCTTCTTGTTATTTTTCAGCAGCAGAGACTATTATCATATATGTGAACGAGATCTATTGAAAGGGACCTGATGTATGATAAAGCTTTGTTTTACACCGCCAGTCTGACAGTGGAACTCCAGCTAGGGTTTCCTGCAAAATAGAGCCTCGGGGGTCTCCCGAGGGTAGACACTCCGATGGTTAAGTCAGTAAGGGGTTTTAAGAACGTCTAAATGTGTAGTATTTTAAGCTAGAGATTGCGTACTCGTATTGTGGTGTGACCTACCCTATTTATAGGCATGACAGCACCTGGGAGATTACTAGGTTTTGGGTTACCTAAACCGCCTTACCAGAGTCGGTTGGACTTCCTATGCGGTTAATGGGCCGGTCCAATGTCAGTAATGGATATGGACTCATCACTGTATTTGATTCATTAAGGAAAATACAGAAATGTAATTCCTTCATTCTTTTATTTTCTTCTGTGTTTTCATTTTACACCAAATATCAATTTTCTTATTAATTCACAATTGCTAGTACATACCCAGTGCATTCTGTAGGGAGTATAACAACTTATAACTACATAACTTCTGATTTATTTATATATGCATATACATGTTTGTCGAGGGTAAAACCCGGGGTTGGAGAGTCAACGGTCCAACCTAGACGGGAACCTGCAAAACGGAGATTAGCACTCCGAAGATCAAGTCAGTTCCAGGGAGAGAAAGTAATTATCACACTTAGAGAGAGAAACGGGAGTGTGAAAAATTGGTTTAGCAATAAATGAGCAAGGAGTATTTATAGCCCCCAATGGGAAGATACCTGTGGGCCCATGTGTGAGGAGGGGCAAAAGCGTAATTATGCTTGAATTCATTCTTTGTAACCCGGTTGGGCCCAAATGAATGGATAAATGGACTTCATGGGCTTATAAGATGAGCCCAAGTCAGATAGCCAGTTCGGCCAGTCAATGTGGGTCAGGATTGACCCCCAGCAAATTCCCCTGTCAAGCCCATTGCAGCGAAGCCGGATTGGGCTTGACACAAAAGAGTTGCCGGCCCATCAAGACAGCCCAATTTCAGGGATCCTTCCATCTCCTAAAGGCCCTAGATCTGACGGCCCTGGGCTTTTCCCGCCCAAAAGTGACGAACGCATAGGATTTCATGGGAGGCCACGCCGCAATGATGGCACGGGATGGTAAATCGATGGGACGTTTCCTTTCCCCTGGAGTATATAACTCCCTTTCGGGACACTGGAATTCACTTTTCTCTCTTTTGTTATCAAATTTCAGACCTACAGAGTTCCTACTTCTATTTTCTTTTTCGCAAATCAGAGTGTATTATCGTCCGGGAGTCGGAATCACAGCCAGCAACTGACCGCAGCGATTTGTAATCGACCCTTAACAAGTAAGTCACCTTGTTCTTTTGTTCGTCCGATTTACAGTATGGCCAAAGAGGTAGTTAGGGTAGAGGAGGTTGAGTGTTTGCTAAACCAGGACAGGGTGAGTGATTTAGAAAACCAGTATAGCCTTACGGCCATCAACCCCACCCTACCAGAAAGCCATGAGAGGGCCAGTACTCCCCCTCCAGGGAAAATTACCATTTATGAAAATTTTGTTTGGAATACGGGTTGCAGTTCCCCCTGAAACCCATGTTTAGGATAATTGTGGAGGCCTATGGCCGACCCTTAGGTTAATATACCCCGAACCTCATAACCATCATGTTAGCCTTCGTACACGTATGTAACAAGACGGGGGTAGAACCAGATATCTTCTTGTTCAGATGTTTCTATAAACTAGTTCGATGCGAGAAGAGTTTCCCCGGGTGGTTCAGCTTTACCAAAAATCCACACGGGCCCTCCAAAGAGTTAGTAGCGAAGAACGAGAGTTCCAAGCATTGGAGATCCGGCTTCTTTTATGTGGCCGCGGACTTTGTTGCCCTCTTTCCATGGACGACGGACGAGGGTGGAACGATTAGCTTTGATCCGTGGACCAAGAAGGATAAGAAGGACATGGAAGCCTGGCGGGGGGACTTGGAGAGATTGGTCAGGTGGAAGAAGACTTACACCTATAGGCAGATCGCGTCGTTAAGCGACACGATCAACTCCCGTAACCGAGGTATTTTACCCGAAGACTAACCTTGGTTATTTTTTCTGTTGATAGATATATTTGCTAATTTGATTGGTAAATGCTTGGCTTTTGATGATTCAGACGAGGAGGAGCAGTATCCAGAGTCGAGGCCGCAAGGAACTCCTCAACAGGAGATGGGCCAAGCGCCTTCAAGTCAAGTGATGCGGGTTCAGGCCAAAGTTCGAGGAGGAGGAACCCCTCGGGTCAAACCTCGGGTCACTAGAAAAGGAAGATTGGAGATCCTTAGGTGGCGGAGGTCGACCCTCTATCCTTCAGCTTGCCCGCAATCCACGAACAATCCTCTATCTACGAACTCTTGAAAGAGGGATACAAGGATCAAGGGCGGGGAGCTGGACAATTTGAGGGCTTACCCGAGGGCCACGCCCTGCTGACGTTCGATCCTCCACGGGTCAAATGCGCGGAGCTGCCCGCCGCCGGAGTGCTACGGGTGGAAGATGGTATGAGACAGGTAGAATTTTTGCTCAAGTACTTTCTCCTCGTAGTTGGGGTTTTCCTTATTGATCATGGGTACCCGTCATGCAGGCTGTGCAGGCGGTGAACTCTTTCATGTCGGTGTGTGCGGACTTGCACGGATGGCTAGCTTTGGCCGAGAGGAAGGCGGCCAGTGAGGCCAACAAAGCCAGGGAGGCGGAGGCATGGCTCCAGGCCCTGGAAGAAGAGAGGAGGAGGCTAGAGGAGGATGTCACAAGACCTAGGGGGGAGCTCGAGGGCACGGAACTAACCCACAGTCTCCAAATGGAGAGTCTGCTGGCCACGAACGTCCCCAAATCTCGCTTGGACGCATACATCCGTGCGGGAATTCAGAGGTACCTTGGATCGTCCGATTTCGCCCTCGGAATAAACGACATCATGGACCCTACCATAGAAAGGGGGGCGAGGAAAGTCGTTATGGAGATCGAGGCGGCCCAGAGGAAGAACGAGGACATTCAACCTCTCCTCGACAAATATGTAGGTAGGGAGATGAAGGGGAAGACGTCCGCGGTAAGGCTGCGGTGCAAAGCCCGGAAGCACTTTCGGGATATGGACTTCGCGCATCTCCCCATTATGCAACAGATCGCTAGGACTTGCCCCTTGGTCTCGAAGCCGGAACACATTCTAAATAATTCCGGGGAGCCCATCGTTCATCTTCCCGATGCCGAGGGGGACGCAGACACCTCCGAGAACACCGCCGGGGCCTGATGAGAACTCGGAGATAGTCGCCTCCGCACCCCCACCCCCAGGGCATAAGTCTGGAAGCCACGGAGGAGGGGGAACCTCGACCGACTTCAGCGCCAATAGCGGAGACAAGGTGAACGATGCATAGGGTTACGATTCCTCCTAGTGATCTCCTGTCTTTGGGGCTTTCTACGTTGTATTTATGGATTTTAACCAAGTATTAATGAACTTCTAATTTATTAACGGCGGATTCGTTATTTCCTCATGTCCTTACTTGTTTCGAACTTGTTCACTTATAAATTACAACTATATTCGTTTATTTATCGATCATAATTATAATTACGTTCGATCATAATTATAACTATGTTCTTTTATCAAGTATTTGTTCATCGGCTCAAACTTATATTTACTTCTGGGGATACGTGCCTCTTAACCTTTCCATTAACACGCGCCTCCTTACTGGGGAAGGACGCAGCTTCGGAGTTCCCCCCTCAGCCCGAGGGAACTTCTCGAGGCGTGCCCACAACTCCAGGTCATTAGGAAACGTTTGGGATTCCCTAGATCAACTTACAATTGCCCGATCCTCATCACGATCCGACGACCTTTCCACTGTATGCGGCTGTAGGAAGCGGCTTGGTGGATCCGAACGTCGACAGGAGCCGAGGACGATTGTCGGGTCTCGAGGGCCAGCTAGAGGAGGCCTTGGAAGCTTTCAGGGCCTCGGAACTGCACGAGGCACGGAGGGCTGTCATCGAGGCGAAGGTCGATAACGACCGGCTGGATAGGTTATGGAGGGACATGGAAACCTATTGGGAGGACCACCTGAAGAACTCTATACAGTTAGAGATATTAGCTAACAATCGCCTTCGGACCTTCGAAGCCAAGATACGGAAGAAAAACAAAGATGAGGGCTTAGCCAAACCCGACCCAGAGGATTTTATTCCCCGCAACTATTTCGAGAGTGTCTTGGTACATCTTTGGAAGGCTTACGCCTTGGTTGCTGTGAAGTGGGACCGGTCCTCTGACAAGATCGAGGCTTTTCGGGCGTATGCTGGTCAGCTTCGTGCAGCTTTGGAAGGCGCAATATCCTTCATTGTAGAGACGGGGAAGGTGTACGATTTTGAGGCTTGTGGCCCGAACCCTATCCGGCCATGCGGGACGACCCGACTTCTCCAACTCGCGAAGCCGAACGCCTAATATATGAGAACGACGCTCTGTTTTACGAATTGGGTTGAGGGTCTCACTAGGGACATGTAATTAAGTTAGGTGATTTTTGGTTAGGTTGTTAGGTGATTTTTAGTGTGGTTTTTGCAAAGTGTATAGTTCCAAGGACCGAACCATCGAAAATTCCCACATATTCGCACATATATAATTATTTCGCACATATATGTAAAATTCTGTTAATTTCCGACGCTCTTTGCTACGGTATGACGGAGGTGACAAGAGTACGTTCCTCTGGATTTTACATTTCAACTGTAGTACTAATGTTGCACTAACTTAGTCGATGTTTAGTTAAACCGTACCTGAACAAGGATCGCGGGAACTTAGGAATTGCGTTGCCGTAAGCCGCGGAAGCCACACGGTGCCGTCGGCCACTGGGGTCAAGACGGCTTTGTAAATGCCCCATGGTCACGGAGACCGTAGGGGTTCCGTAGGCCGCGGAGGCCACACGGTGCCGTCGGCCACTGGGGTCGAAATGGCTTTGTAAATGCCCCAAGGTCACGGAGGCCGTAGGGGTTCCGTAGGCTGCGGAGGCCACACGGTGCCGTCGGCCATTGGGGTCGAGACGGCTTTGTAAATGCCCCAAGGTCACGGAGACCGTAGGGGTTCCGTAGGCCGCGGAGGCCAAACGGTGCCGTCGGCCACTGGGGTCGATACGGCTGTGTAAATGCACCAAGGTCACGGAGACAGTAGGGGTTCCGGAGGCCGCGGAGGCCACACAGTTTCAGGAAGGAGGGATTCGTACGAAGGCACAGGAAGTAGTATATTAACAGCAAGAGTGCCTGAGTTCTGCTTGGCTAATATCTATTACAAAAGTAGGCAGAAGCCTTCAGATATTGAACTTCCTGAGGTTCTGGATGTTCCACCAATGGGAGATGTCGGCGGGGCTTGTCATTACACGTGCACAGGCGATAACTCCCTGAGGGAGAAACTTCCACAACCTTGTATGGTCCTTCCCAGTTCGGAGCTAACTTTCCAGTCGGTTCAGCGTAGCTCACCTCGTTTCGTCGGAGGACCAGGTCTCCGACTTCAAAGTTCCTAGCCTGCACCTTGGTATTGTAGTACTTGACCATGATCTGCTTGTATTTGGCCTCGCGGGCTTTGGCCAGGTCTCGTCTTTCGTCTAGGAAATCGAGGCATAGGCGGATTTCATCTTCGTTCATTTCCTTTGCGAAGTTGACTACCCGGGAACTGGGCACCTCTATTGCAGCTGGGAGAACGGCTTCCATGCCATAAACGAGGCTGAAAGGGATTGCCCCCGTGTCCGTCCTCATAGTGGTGCAGATGGCCCAGAGGACATGGGCCAACTCCTCAGGCCATAGTCCCTCGGCTCTCTTAAGACGTGTCTTCATGCCTTGTAAGATGGCCTTGTGTATATTTTCAGCCAACCCGTTGGCCTGGGGATGTGCCATGGACGAAAACCGCTGTTCGATCCCGAACTGCTAACACCAAGATTTAAAAATTCATGACTCAAACTAAATCCCATTATCTGAGGTAAGGACTTTCGGGATCCCGAACCGGCAGACATTGTTCTTCCAGAAGAATTTGGCTACGTTTGCCCCTGTGGTGGAGGCCAGAGGTTTCGCTTCAACCCATTTAGAAAAGTAGTCAATCGCGACGATTACGAACTTGGGCTTACCCGGGGCCAATGTGAAGGGCCCTATTATGTCCGTCCCCCACTTGTAAAAAAGCCACAGGCTGCTAATTGGGACCATCTCATGCTGGGAAAGAAGCGGAACAAGGGCGTGTTTCTGGCATTGCACACACTGAAGGACGACATTATAGCAATCTTGGGACAGAGTTGGCCAGTAATATCCCGTGCGGACCAGCTTCTTTGCCAGGTTACGTGACCCTAAGTGAGCCCCACATGCGCCTTCGTGCAGGCTCTTGATTAGCGTCTCAGCTTCCCGCAGCCCAACGCAGCGCAGCAAGGGTGTTAGGTACCCTGCTTGTAGAGGATGCCATCCCTTAGCAAGTATTTAGGTGCCTTGAGCTGAATCTTCCTGGCCTCTCCTGGGTCCGTGGGTAACGCCCTGGTCTGGAGGTACTGGACAAAGGGTGTCATCCAAGATACCTCGTCCATCGTCACGGGCAAGACTTCATTGTCCAGGATGTCCGGACGCGTTCTAACTTTCATGTGAATTCGTTGGGCCAGGTGCACAGCGCGGGAAGAAGCTAACTTGCTCAGGGCGTCGGCCCTCTTGTTTTGCGACCTTGGTATGTATCGAATGTGGAAAACACGAAAGCCGCGTTCCAATACGCTGACTTTCCGAAGATAATTTTGGAGCACCACCTCCCGAACCTCGTACACCCGAAGAACATGGTTAACGGCCACCAGAAAATCACTGCAAACTAAGATTTTTGGAATACCGAGTGCGCGGGCAATAGACAGTCCCGCGATGAGCGCTTCATATTCAGCCTCATTGTTGGTGGTTGGGAACTCTAGCAAGATTGTGTAAACAATTTTCGACCCGTGGGGATCAATCAGAACCACGCCCGTGCCCGAACCTTCTTTAGAGGAAGACCCGTTGATGAACAAAGTCCACAATTGCTGCCCGGCAGGGGAAAATTCTTCAGGAGCTTGACAACATTCACTTGCCTCGGCTTCTTCTACCCAAGGGACTTCGACAAGGAAATCGGCCAAAGCTTGACCCTTGATAGAGGTCCGGGGTCGAAATTCTATGTCATGCTCCCCGAGTTCCACAGCCCACTTGGTCATTCGCCCCGACGCATTGGACCTACGGAGAATCTGCTGTAAGGGTTGATCCGTAAGAACAAGGATCGGGTGCACCTGGAAATAGGGGCGCAACCTCCAAGCTGCGGTTACGAGGCAAAAAATCAACTTCTCAACAGGGGTGTACCGAGACACGGCGGGAAGAAGGACCTTACTGATATAATAAACAGGAATCTGCTTTCCTTTATGTTCCCGTACCAAGGCTGCACTCACCGTGGACTCGCCCATGGCTAAGTACAGAGTTAGAGTTTCCCCCAGGTTCGGTGTGCTCAGGGTCGGGAGAGTCCGCAAGTGTTCCTTTAGTTCCATAAAGGCTTTCTGACAGTCCTCGGTCCAACCGAAGGTGTCGGACTTCTTGAGAACCTGGAAAAATGGCAAACTCCGTTCGGCCGCCTTTGACAGAAATCGCCCTAAGGCAGCAATAGAGCCTGTAAGCCTTTGTACTTCTTTGACAGACCGCGGGGGCTGCATTTCTAAAATGGCTTTGATCTTTGACGGGTCCACATCGATCCCTCTCCGGGAAATCTGGAAACCAAGAAACTTTCATGATCCGACGCAGAACACGTATTTTTTCGGATTCAACTTCATATTAGCTGTCCTGAGGGTCTGGAAGGTCTCCCGGAGGTCCTCGACAACAAGGTTCATCCGACGACTTTTACCACCATGTCATCCACATAGACCTCTACGTTTCTTCCCAGCTGGTCCCCGAAGATGCGATTGTCCACACGTTGGTAGGTAGCGCCCGCGTTCTTTAGACCGAAGGGCATTTTGACATAGCCGAACACTCCCTTTTCAGTGACGAAGGCCGTCTTTTCTGCATCATCCTCATGCATCAGGATCTGGTGATACCCTTTGTACGTGTCCAGAAAGCTGAGCACCGGGTATCCCGAGATAGCATCGACCTTCTACTCGATTGCTGGAAGAGGGTAGCAATCCTGAGGATAATGTTTATTGAGATCCTTATAATCTATACACATACGCCAAGAGGAGTCGGGTTTCTTGACCATGACCGGATTGGCCAACCATGTGGGATAGAAGATCTCCTTGAGGATGGACACGGCCAACAACTTAGTAACCTCCACGTCAACAGCAGCACTGCGCTCGGGAGCCATCATCCGCCTCTTCTGCTGTACGGGCGGCGTGCTAAGATCGACATTCAGTTTTTGCACACCCAAGTTGGGGGGAATCCCCATCATATCACTGGGACTCCAAGCGAAGACATCTTTGAACTGCTTCAACAATTCAACCACCATGTCTCGAAGACTGGGAGGCAAAACCGCACCTAAGCTGACAACCCTTCCCTCTACAAAAGGATTCAGGGCCACATCTGTAACCTCGTCATCCGCGGGACCAGAGTTGTCGTTTCCTTGGTCTTCGTCTTCAGAGACCGGGGCCTCTTGGACGGAACCGACGGTTATCCTTCCCTGAAGGAAGTCACGTCCCTTTTTTGCGGCGATAACCATGCACTGTCGCGCCAATTGCTGGTCTCCACGAACTTCAGCAATCCCCGCCTCGGTCAAGAATTTCATGACCAAATGGTACGACGAGTAAATGGCCTTCACCTGACTCATCTAGGGCCGTCCCAGAATGATATTGAAAGGGGCCACTATGTCCACCACTGCAAAGTCGACGAGAGTTACCCGGTCCTTGGGATAAGTCCCTACAGTAACAGCCAAACTGATTATGCCTAACGGCATTACCACGTGGTTCGAAAGTGGACTAGTGGTATGGATGCGTGGCGGAGCTGAGTCTTGTCGAGGCCCAACTTCTGGAAACAATCACCGTACATGACATCCACTACACTGCTATTATCAACTTATACTCGTCGCACTTCCCTGCTGGCGACTATGGCTGTGATGACCAGCGCGTCGGAGTAATCTTCAGATCCACCCACCAAATCTTTCTCTCAGAAGGATATCACCTCTCCGGGACGGAGGCGTTTGGCCACGGACTCATCCGGCGGCCGGGGGCGCGAACTCCTGCGGAGAGTGGCAACACTCTAGACCCCCAAGGGTGCCCCAAAGATAGCACCCACAGGAGCGGCCAAGATTTGCCGTGCCTGCGCTGGATCGACACCATCCTGGGCTTTGGCCCCGTCCCCAACAGGGGCATGGTTGGTTGTCTTAGCCTTGTTTTTTCCTCCACCTCCGGTTCTTGGGTTGGCCTGGCACTTTCTCTTGGGACCCCTTCTGGATACAATCCTGGAATTTACCCGCCTTGAGGCCCTCCTCAATCTCCTTCT